AACGAATCCTTTGCTCCAAGGTTAGACGTACGCGAAACCTTCCTCGGCATCGCTTTCACTCCAGTAATGAACTCATGGCGTTTCATCAGTGCCTCTGCTTTGTATTTAGCCTCCGCAATCTGAGCGTAAAGATCCGTGTCCTGCAATCGTTTCGACTTGCGATCGAGTTTTAAATTTCGAACGAGGTTTTTGCGCTTCTTTTCAAACGCACGAATGGCAGACCGGACGCGTTCGGCATCCCGGGTGTAGTACTCTGCTTGGAAAGCAGGATGTTCGAGATATGTCTGCAGGTCGTCGTAGATGTCGCGCATTTCGTGTATCTTAGCAAAAACGTCTGAATGGACAGTGACACTGCGAGAAAGGTTGCAACCTTTAAGGGAGCTAATCGCACATATGGCTTGTAAGGAATGTATAGCTCAGCGGTATAAAATGAAACAAACCTATAATGATAGAGAATTCCAATCCGAGGTGTCCCTTTTGGGTCGGTCAGGATCTTTGGTAAAGCAGCGAGGGCATCATTCGGGGAAAGAAGACCATTGGAAAGATACGAAGCGTCCGCAGTGCATCCGTAGGTTTCGATCATCACATGCAATATACTGCAATTCTTTGACCGAGATTTTGCGTTCGAATGAGCAGCTCCAGCTTTAAAGAAATTCTCAACGAGGACCTGGGCCTCGACCTCTACCTTGTCCGTTGAGCTCTTTTCATCGACTCTGAGGACATAGTTGAGGTGGGTGTCGAAGTAGAGATTCGACACTCACTGACAAACAATAACCATTCGACATCCATACCCGCGTCGTCGTCCGGCAAGGTAGTAGTCCCCATATCTTTCTCGAAATACATCCTCTGAAAGGTCGCTTAAACTATTCTGTAATGCGACATTGGAGGGTATGAACTCTGGTTCGAATTCTCCAATTACTCTGTACTGTATCAGTACCGTCGATGCCGAAGCATTTTTTGACAACAACGAAGAGATACGAGTGCTCATTGAGACAGAAGTAGGGGCAACATTAATCGTTCCGCCTATTTCCATGTCATATTGATCTTGCAAGGACTTGATATCGTTCCAGTGCAAGGTGTTGACGTACGTTTTACTCTGTTTAGGCCTCGGAGAACCAGACATCTTGAATGGCGTCAGCGCGGTACGAGTCATAGACTCTCCGGTGAGAGCATCCACGCCAAAGCCCAATCGAAAGGTTTCGGACCAGGGTATTTTAACTTCACGCTGAAGTTCTGTGCTGGCCACAGCTTGAGCACGTTTCTAAGCGAATCGAGTAAGATCAGATACGCAGACGGAAATATTCGATGGTCATACTTGGACCGGAGCTGCTTCTGACGAATTTGAGTCTTTCTTGATAGGAATCTCCAAACTCACAGTCCGACGATGTTTCTTGGAATCATCAGGAGGCTTCAAAGTATCAGGTGTCACAGATCTTGTTACTGGGTGTGCGGGAGCCTTAAGGTTATTATCAGGTTGAGTCGGTGTCACTTTGAGTATTGGTTTGAGAATGGTCTGAGGTCGAGATTTGAGGTATTCGATCTTTGCGCGAATAGCGTTTGGGGTCTGCACAAAAAACATCAGTTGTGGACGGCTGGCTGCTGTATATGTGGGCGCACCGCATCTGTCTTATCATGGTCCGCCCCGAAAACTATAGTACTTCCGTCCTTCAATAGAGAAGCCTTCTTTGACATAAGTTTGCCCGTTGAACTCGTCCACGTTCCGTGTCCCGATCCCAAATCAGTGATATACACCTTGATCCATGGATCAGATTCAATTGTCATTTAGGAACGGGTAACCTACTTTTGTTCTGTCAAACGTCAGTATGGCGTGGTTGTAGCCTACTAGATTGTCTGTGCTCCCAAAAAGTTTTCTCCCTATTGTTGACTCATTGTTAGAGTCGTCCTTCTTCACCGTGAATTTCTTCGGTTTGTTCTTCGAATAGGGCGGATCTTCGCAGATAAATACGACACCTAGTCAAGCTTATATGAGCCTAAAAATCTGGAGCAAAATCATTTGGAGCACACCTTCTACCACAACGTTGCCTGTGTTCTTAATTTCGGTAGCAGGCATAGCTGGTTTTGTGAAAAAATGCTCAAGGACAAAGCGATTCTTATAGATTGAAGGCAACCGAAGACCACGGACATGTACTGCAATGGCTTACAAAGTTATTTGTGTCGAGAATGTCATCTGGAGATACCATTTTGTGAAAAAGGTGTATTTCGTCAGTGATCAGTTGGTGAAGGATGCGAAAGCACGTGTGCTAAGGCCCTGGTGTTTTCATCCCCCAATTCAATTTTGGCGCAGTAGCTAGTCAGAGTTTGTACACCCGATCCCTCTCTAACAAAGTCAACACATAAGAACTTAGAAAAGTGTCCAAAGTGCCAGTGTGGGAGGGTCTTAAATTTACTCCAGAAAGTTAGAAACTCTTACACAGTTCAGGGCAGGTCAACTCGTGTGTGTGGCTTTTGGTTTTTTGACCACCATCCACGTTCAAATATCTGCCCAGATGTACCTCCTGCGATTTGTAACAAGCGGAATGTATTCCCAATCCTCGCCTCGAAACCCTTCCTGGTCTTCAACTCTCAGCTGACCGAACAGCTGACTTCAATTTCTAAAATCATTGAACGAATTGTATGGCGGCGATTGTATACAAGTGATGTCGATACTGACATCTCAAAACTACAACTACCATGTCTCTGAAGCACGTATACAACTCTTCAGACGGATTAGTAGACAGATCTCTCCAAGGAGCCGTCGCTTTGAACCCATCTCTTCGTTTGTGAGTTCTTTCTTGCTCATTTTTGGCTCAAAATTGATTGATCTATTCCGATTAGACATCACTCGTCAAAGTCTGTGTATGTATACCCTCCATCCCAATCGGCCAAGACCTCCATAATCTCTGGCGGTGGGGCAGGCCATGAACCTGCACATGCATCCTACACAGGGTATGGCATGCTTGCGGCTTCCGTATCCGGCGAAATTTTTGCTAGTCCGAGTGCTAAGCAAATACTGTCAACGATTCGTCTAGCAGCCTACGCAGGCGAAGATGCCCATCCCAGAAGGAATACGATCACGGACAGATCTGCCACCTACAGTCCGCATAAGAAGGACGTTCTCGTTGTTATCAATAACTATACTGGAGACCGGCTCAATTTCGGTCTTGCCATCGAGAAAGCCCGGGCTGAAGGGATCCGAATTGATAGCGTTGTCGTAGCTGACGATGTATCACTCCTTCATTCCGTAGGCTCTGATCTCGTTGGTCCTCGCGGACTTGCTGGTAATATCCTTATCTGCAAGATCCTAGGTGCCCTTGCAGAGCGAGGATCCTCTCTAGAGAACCTCAAGCGAGCAGGAGATACTCTTGTTTCTCACCTCGCAAGCATTGGTGTCGGGCTGGAACATTGCCATGTACCTGGTAATAATTATTCCGGTGCTGCGATGGGTGAAGATGAATGTGAGGTGGGGCTGGGGCTCCATAACGAACCGGGCGTGCGCCGCATGAAGTTCCAGGACTCAGTGAAGTTAGTTGATGAAATGATAGGGAAGATCCTGCGCTCAAGAGGTGTTGTTGACGGAGGTAGAGATAGCTTCATCCAGGAAGGCGATATTACGGTCTTGTTTGTGAATAATCTAGGAGGTATGTCTCAATTAGAGATGGGTGCGATAATGACCGATATCCTTGCTAGATTGGGTACGTGATTTCAATATAATCTCGAAAATAAAACTCAAATTAGCTTAGCTCTCTCCGACATACATCCTCTACGAATCTATAGTTCATCTTTCATGACCTCACTCAATGCCCCTGGTTTCTCTGTCTCCCTCCTCAATGTCTCCGCTGTCCATCGGACAACCCGCCCTTCTGCAATTTACCATCCAATTGACGTTCTCGGATTATTGGACGATCCTACCGAAGCTCACTCCTGGATCGGAATACGCCGTTTTTGGCCTGTAGATGGCCAAAGAGACTGGCGCGGGCAACAACGCGCTACTGAAAGAACGCTCAGTTTGATGTCTATGGGTAATGGAACGTCCAAAGCAAAAGGAGAGGATCCTGCTGCGGAAACAACGTATTGGCATCAGGCTGACGTCTCGCCTGAAAGTGTGAAAAAAGGAATCATGGGTGCATGTAGAGCTGTGCTCGACGAGGAAGCGTTGTTAACTGAATACGATACTATTGTGGGAGATGGAGATTGCGGTACGACGTTCTCGCGGGGTGCAAAAGGTGGTTGAAAATCTGATAATAATCAAAATCCGCTAACTTTCACTGTAGCAATTCTGTCTGCAATCGAAACGCAACAACTCGAGGTCAACAAGTTATCTCCAGGTCAGTTAGTGCATTGTGTGGGCGAGATACTCGAAGATAACATGGGAGGAACCATTGGAGCGTGTAAGGAATCTAGCTTGTGGTCGTAAACGAACAAGATGACTGAAATTCTATCCTAGTATTTGCTATCTTCTTTACGGCCTGGTCATCTGCCATAACACGAATGATCCACCCATCAATGGCCTCCATCTCCCCCATTCATTTTATGGACACTCTCCCTGACGGTTTAAATTCGCTCGCCCACCACACGCCAGCCAAACCCGGCGATCGAACAATCATGGACGCGTTGTATCCGTTGTGTAATGCTCCAGTTTCATCACCAGGCAGCAGTGAAAGCAAAGCAGGCTCAAAAAGCATCTTTGCTCATGATTATCAGCAAGACCAAGACGGCAACTTGAAGCTAGTCGCAGAAGCATGCCGCCGAGCCCACGAAGGTGCTCTGAGCACGAAAGGAATGAAACCTAAACTAGGAAGAGCAGTTTATGTACAATTGAAAGAGGAATTGGAGCTCCCCCCGGATCCAGGAGCGTGGGGCGTCGCGGTGCTTGCACAAGGTTTCTTGGATGGATTCTGTGAGCGGGAAAAGGAAGATTTGTAGACTGTAGGTAAAGAAAACTTTTCTCCAACAGAACAATGCCTGTTGATAGCATGATTTCTGTTGCCGATGACGATATTGCCTTCTTAGCTCAGTGGTAGAGCGTTGCACTTGTATAAATAAAACCACCGATCCGACATGGTTGCGTATATTAATGCAAAGGTCAGTCGTTCAATCCGGCTAGGAGGCAGTACAGGATTTGCTTTCCTTTGTCTTTTTGTTTCCATGTTGAAACTTTTCCCGACATCGCCGTCGAATGTATTATACAAGAAAATTGTTTTTTTTGGACAGCTCGACGTTTTCTATGTAATCGAAGAACACCGCCGCCGCAATTCCTCTCATTGCTTTATTCACATCCTTTAGTATGAGTGTAATTCTTCCAAATGGCTCAGAAGCTTCTTGTGATTTCAGGTACGTTGTATTCATGAACTCGAAGTATATTCTGATTTGCAGATAAGTATGGCTTCCAGGATAATCTGGCGAGGAAGTTCTTCTTCCGATTTGCTCCCGGGGGGCCTTCTACTTGTGCTAGCAAATCACTTCGTGATTCGGCCTATTCCCCGGAGATGAATAGCTTTACAACCCAGTCACGACTTTGTACTTACTTCAAGCTTTATGCTACCGAATAGCTGAAATCTCCGCACTCTGCTTTTCTGGCCCCCTTTCTGACACTCTTCATGTGATTGGTGACCTTCGTTATCTGCGCACAAAAGGAAGTCCTTCCAATTTATCAGGCCCATCTCGCTGGAAGATGAACCCTATTTTTATACAGTCTCTGGGAACTAATCACGGATTCAACGGTTTAGGTAGGTTTGGGCTCCATTTTCGTGAGTGAAGTCTGAAATTTTCGGGGCCTTTTCAGTATACAGCAAGCAACTCCGCAAGCTCGAAGTTTTTAATAGGTGGAACGCCTTCGCTCTTTAACGCTTCATGGACAGGTTGAGATAAGATCACCGGATAGGGTAGACCGGTAATTTTCAGGCTCATCCTTATTGCAAAATGTCGGAATTCTCATTGCTTGTATGAGCACCCACTTGGATGAGAATACGGAGAATGCAAAAGTACGTACTTCCCCTTGGCTTCCCATCGTGTAATGTGTCTTTTTCCCAAAACGAGCTCATCATCCATGTACTCATTTTCCGAGGTTAAGGACCATGAGAATAGATCCGCGATATGCCAGGCCACTAGGATTCTCAGATGAATGAACCAATCCTGACGCCTTTCAGCCCTGCTCGCTTGAGCCTCTTCGAAGGCTATAAAAGGGATAAGACTTTACGAAACTCCCTCTGCACCATTATACCTTGTCCTCTCCAAATTTTGCATAGACATGACCATCATACTATACGACTTTCCTGCTAAACGGAACGAGCACACTGCTTGGAACCCGAATGTATGGAAGGCGAGGTAGAACTGCATTGTTGTTTTCATTTGATTAGGGCTGACGTTGTATTCTGTCTAGGTATAGTCTTGTTTACAAGAGTCTCCCATACAGAACGGTCTTGGTCGAGTTTCCTGACCTTGAACATACGATGAGGGAACTTGGTGCTGCACCTACCGAAACTAAACCCGACGGAAGTCCGAAATATACGCTTCCGGTCATCCATGATACCGCCACAAATGCCGTCGTCTCAGACTCAGTCGCTATAGCACAATACCTCGACGAAACGTATCCGTCTCCACCTCTCTTCCCCAATGGCACACATGCATTCCACGCATCTTTCAATGATCTATTTCCAGCCAGAATCGAGCCCATGCTTCAATTTCTCCTGCCATCCATTGCATCCGTGTTAAATCCACGAAGCGAAGAATATTTTCGCCACACCCGGAAAGAAATGTTCGGGATGGACTTAACTGAGCTATACCCAGCCAAGGGGTCAGAGAAAAGGGATAGAGAATGGCGGAAGTTTGAGGAAGGCTTTGGCATGCTGGATAAAGCTATGAGAAAAACAGATATTTTGATCATGGGAGGGAATGCTCCATGTTTCGCAGACTTTACTGTCGCAGGCTGGTTACGTTCATTTCGGACCGTGTTTGGGGAAGATAGTGAGGAATGGAACGATGTGTCGCGATGGCATGAAGGAAGATGGCATAAGTTTATGAAAGCGCTGGAAAAATACGAGAGTGATGTTGTACAGCCTGTTTTCGCAAGACTGTAGTTTCGGTACGATGATTCATAGAATTTTCCAGTACTCCTACATAGTTCATTGCTTCACAAATGGGAACATCCCCTGTTTCTGTCATGCAAAGCTCGCTGGGCCAGGCACAAGCAAAAAAAAAGAATTGAGGAAGTCAGAAGACGACATGGCCCAAGAGCTGATATTTCGACTCTTTTAGTGCGGCGAGGGCGTAGGGCATTCGCGAGCTTTGTAGGGGACAAGGCAACACGCGCTCAATTATTTCCCACCCTTTCGTTCCGTTGTTCATCTGAAGCCTATCTAGGAGTCTCTTTGACGACTCTTGCTCTCTATATTGACAAAATATGAAGTTATTCTCCAGGAATTCTGAACTGCCGATGTTCTGCTCAGTAACCGAACATTGGACATGATGTCATTTGCATATTTAATGAACAGCCATGCTCTTTACAGGCGCTGACAAGGCATTTTTGCATTTCTCCACCACCTTGATTTTGTTTGGAATTCCTCAAATCTCTGCCTCAGAATCACCCGTAGCATATACTTATACCTTGGAATCTTCCGACTGCAAAAGTAGCATTCAGCTTTAAAAGAATCACAAAGAATCGCTACTGGTTGGCACGATAGATGATTTATCTAGGCCTAATTCGAGCTGGGCTGTATGCGGTTTTGGTTCATCTTTTTTCTTGCCAAGTGTACTGGAATTTCTTAACGGGCTCCTCTGCTTCGCTCCTGTGATTACAGCTGGTCTTCGCTTTCATTTTATTCGTGCTTTGTTGCGTTAGAATCAATGATACTCTGCAGGCGAACTTTTATGGTACGTCTCCGTAAACACTATTATGACCCACCCAGCACACGATACTAACCCAAAGTTTTGACAAATTTCAGACCCAGTCATTGCCGAACTACTCTTCACCTCAATCGTAACCATGCTATGGTGTGGGCTGATGTACGTTCCTACAGTTCTTATTATGATGAATCCTCATCTGTCCTCTGTATAGGCTGTGCATATTCTTCGTGGAAACCCTCAAATTCGAGTTTATACGACTATACTGGCAAGAGCTTATCGGTTTGGTGATACTATGGTTCTTCTGGATCGGAGGTGCTGCTGCTGCATCGGTAAATAACGTCTTATACAAAACCTAAATGACGCTGACGACGATTTCAGAACATATTCGGGGACCTCGATTTATGCCGGCAATTCCAAGCGTGTCAACTTCTTTCTGCTGTGCTGGCTTTCGCATGGCTCGGGTGGATTGTTCTTACGGTAATGCTGATCATTTCAATTGTGGTTATGATCACAGCAACGCGCGATGGACGAAAGGTTCTTGATGAGCCATTACCGACCAGAGCAGCTCGTTAATCAACTATTTATCTTTAAACAATTGCATTTGTCAAAATTCACACAGTAAGGAAGATTTTGGCCAGTTGCGACCAAAGTGTCCGGGCCAAGGGATCTCAATGAAGGGACATACAGAGACAGAGCTCCCGCTGGCAGGGATGGACCAGTGGGTCAAGAGCGAGGTCAAACTTGAATGATAATTGAGCTAATCGATGAGTGACAGAGGACGCGACAAGGGACGCAACAAACGTTCAGGTTGCTCCGTGAATTGCCCGGACTCAGTTCGGCTATTCAGACACGACATGGCCTTCAATACAGTCAAACCTGCTCGCATATTGTGTGCAGCCATATTCACGACAATTGTTCTTAGGAATTTCAAATATCATTGTTTAAACACAATCGGACGCTATGATTATGGTCTCGTTGATCCTTGACCAGGATTGTGTGCGATTGTGAAGCTAAAAGGAGATGCTCGTCACTCATTCGATATTGAGCTTTCCCTACTGCAGGAAAAAAAGGGTCTCAATACATTCGTCGTTTTCGGTACAGATCCTTCAGTGGACGGAATGCTGTGAAGATAGATTACATACGCTCTTGGTATAGAAATCAAGTAGACTGCAATATTATCGGCCTGATGGTCTAGTAGTATGATTCTCCCTTCGGGCGTTTGCTCGTGGCCTTATGGCTACTTAATTGGGAGAGGTCCCGGGTTCAATTCCCGGTCAGGCCCTGTTTGTTTTTGAATTTCTGTTTACGCATTCGTTTTTCTTTTTGCAACTGAAAGCAAGGAGCAGAGCGGACCCTTTAGATCGTACAGTAGCCTGGAGCTCAGAAAGTGTCGAAACTTTACATGTGTATGTAATGATTTTCCCAAAAGTATGTTCTAATAGTGTGAGACAATTACATTGCAGCCCTTGAATTTGAGCTTGAACTTGCATGGCCATGGCCTCCAATCCGCCTTTCGTTCTCCATGAATACAAACATCAGCATCCAGAGCGCTCTCAACATGGTCCTCGTCTCCCACCAATTCCTGACTTGCGCTTTGAGCCCAGTTATTTACGGAGCATACAGCCGTATATCCGTCTCCGTACGTTGCAACCCGGACACAAATCTACAGTAAAGAAGGGCGCGGACCCGAAGGAAAGAGTCGATCAGGAAGATGGTAAAACAAAGCAGAAAATAGAGCAGGAGACTGTAGATGTTGACTGGAGCCAAGTTCTGTGGGTCACTGCGCGAGACCAGATATTGAGTCCACTGTTCCAAGGCGCGCTCTGGTACGGCTTAGTGTTGTAAATTTCCGAAGCTTGAAGCCTTACTCACTCCTTAACTTGCAGGGCACTCATCACCTTTTATTTCACTCCGTATTCTAGACGCTTCACTGATGCAATTGTACAACATCTACCGTCCCGTCGATCATGATACTGTGATGACAAACTTAAAATTTTTGAGCACTCTGTTAGTGCCAGTCAGAAAGATTTACCTTAGTTCAGAGAATTCATCGACGACCGACAATTATTGCGATCGCTTATTGCAAGTTCTGTCTTTTACAGCTTTCTACTCAACTTGAATGATAACCGTAATGTCTGTCTTCGACTCGTGGAATCTATATCGAGATCGTTCATTTGACCTTATTTAGATTCGGCTCCAGAGGCACAAAGCTAATCGACAGACTGCGTTGGAATTTTCCGTAGAACTCCCACTCATGACACGGGGTTT